TTTAGAGAAAGACAAAGAAGTCCATCTCTCCATACATATTCAATATAGTACTTTCTTAGCTAGGACAATAATACAAATAAATGCCGTCAAAGGAGGTTTAAAGTCAAAGTATCCTTGTTGGCAAATAATATGATGCTACACATGAGTAAATCTAAATATCCACTGGGAAACTTCTACATCTGGTAAACACATTCACCAAAGTATCAGGATACAAAAACTATGCAAAACCAATGGAAAAACAAGACAAAAACATTTAGCCTTCCTCTATTCACCATGATACAGACATTGCTTTAAAAAATTATGATCTTATTTTTTGGAAAGATGAGCAAGAAGTATCAGAACATGGCATCTATTAATTGAAATGTCATTGCTTTTAAGAATCTTTGAATTCCTTTCAACTCAGTTACTTTTCTGATGAAAGGAAGCAAAAGCTTCAATGAACTTTACTGAAAACCACTTATATACAGTAACAGAGGTAGAAACATAAAGACAAAAAAGGAGATTATGAAGAATAAGAATACAGAACAAAGTTAGGGTAGTAAGACATGATACTAGAAGACCAGAGAATAGTGCTCTTCCCACCCAGGAAGCCAGATTCCACTCTCAGTGTCTTTGGGAATGAGAGACACAGGGAATTTAGCTCCTTATTTAATTCCTCACTCAACATTATGACTGAGGGAACACAGGTTCAAATGGTTTTTATGTGTATGTACAAGAACACAACACAAACTAAAGCTTCCAGGAGTGGTTTTTTTCTTAAGAGTCAATGATTATAAAAATAAAATAATAGCCACATTGACTTTTATTTTATGAGTAGTAACTATGAAAACACATTCTTTTTTTTTCAAGGAAGGGTTTCTCTGTGGTTTTGGAGGCTGTCCTGGAACTAGCTCTTGTAGATCAGGCTGGTCTCAAACTCAAAGAGATTTGCTTGCCTCTGCTCTCAAGTGCAGGGATTAAAGGTGTGCACCACCACCACCCGGTGGAAACACATTCTTAACTTTGAGATTTGATAATCATTCAGTTTTTGACTTATTAAAATTATTGATAATACCTGATTGTTACCAATAAAAAACTTACAAATGAAAAAGAAATGCTAATGCATATTTAGCTAAAATTCAAACAACTACTATCATATACTCTTAACTCTTCCTTTATATTGGATACTTAAGTAGTTTTACGCAGTCTTCCAAAACAATTTATTAATCAGATACACTCATTTTGATAGTTTGTCTTGAGTTTTACCTGCATAACACAAGATAAAAATTTATGACCTCTAAGAGGTCAATTTTTCTTCTATTTGATTTGGATCTAGCAGTTTTGCTCACCAAATATGGAACATTTAAAGTATGCCTATAAAGCTGATATATGGTATACTCAGAAAAAACACAACCTCTTCCAACTCTCATCTAATTTTTGTACTTTCTCTTCTATGGACATGACAAAACACCAATGACCAAGGCAACGTGTAAAAGAAAACAATTGTTTGGGGGGCTTACAGTTCCAGAGGATGAGAGCCCATTGTTATTATGACAGGGAGCATGGCAGTAGATAGGCAGGAATACACTACAGCAGTGCCTGAGAGCTCACATCTCATCCATAAATATGAGACAGAGACAGGGGCTGGGAGAAGAGCTAAGTGGGAATGACATGGACTCCTGAATACTCAAAGCTTCCCCTAGTGGCATACTACCTCCAACTAGGTCACAACATTCTATCCATTTTGAATAGTTCTACTAACTATAGAACAAACACTGGAAGTATATGAGACTATTGTAGACATTTTCATTCAAACCACCAAATTTTAATAGCTATTCCTGCTTGTTATAGGTTCTGGCAATACCATAATTCAAAAGAGACATAGTCCAATATCAGCCCTCCATAGTCTTTCACAGTCTTAACACAGTTTAAAAGTCTGAAGTTTCCTCTCATACCCCTATAACCACTTTATTTTAATCACCTACAAAACCAACTAATGGAAGTTGTTTTCTCCTTCCAGCATGTGGGTTTTTGGGATTGAACTCAGATCCTCTGTCTTGGCCTCAAGCTCCTTTACCTGAGGAAGATTACCATAACTCTCCACTGTGCTTCTTCTTAACAGCAGCATTACTTAGAAGAAATTTCATTAAATTGCTAAAATTTAGTTAAAATTATACTATTGGAATTCACATGAGTAGTAAGTGCTTATTTTATTATCTAACTATATAGTTTAGCAAGAAATCCTCAAGGGGTTCTATTGTCACAGTATGCCTGTGGGCGTGGGAGAAGAAGTGGTGTGTGGGATTAAAATCAATTATGAAATAATGGTGATTTGATCCATGAAGAGGTGGCAAAAAAGTGTAAGAGCTCCGAAAAAGTGAGAAGAGCTTTGAAATGCCATTTTGTTGGCATGACACTAACGCAGGCATGATTTCAGGGCTGCCTACTATGGTACCCATACAGCTAATAGTCAGTTGTCATTTGCCGATCAGGGGGTAGGCTTTGTATTCTTAAACCTCCTTGCTGAACTGTGAGCTCCTAATAGTCTTGGGGCAAGGTCAGATGTTTTCTCTGGTTGAGACCCCCTGATGAGCTCATCATTCCCCAGGCATAATTACAATTCAATGAGCACATAGATGAATGTATTTAAACTCATTGGGTCAATAAATAAAACAAAATTACATAAATGTAAAGAGGAAATTCTGCCTGTGGGGGGGTATGAGCAGGAGAGAACTAAGAGTTCAAGTACAGAAATCAGATGCCATCAGCTTTTGCAGATAACTGTCAAAGACCATATTTAATAAAAGAAATATGGTGACTTAAAATTGCTGAGAGATAAATCTATTGGCATATTTGAGAGAAACTTTTCATGATAAGATAAACGAAACGTCCATCATATGTGTATCCATTAATGCACCTGTCCAGACTTGAGCCATAATTACCTGTAATCATCTGATTTTTGGAAAACACAATGGCAGTATATGCATGCTTTGTTACATATTTTTAACAGTATATTTCATTCATTTGAATATGTGTACAGATTGATTTTAATCATTACTTTTCACTAGAACAGGAGGAAATAGCTGCATTTCTGCAGGGGTTTCCCCTTCAGCAGAGTGAAGTAGAAGAAGTAACATCTTGGTCCAGAGATGAGCACATCAGGAAAAGAAACTTTTAGCAATGCTAGAACCAAGTAGAGCTCATCTGTGATGGCTCTCTCTAGGTGAGGAGCTGGATTGCAATATGCTGCAGGAAGACCATCCCCCACTCTACCTCAGCTTCAGGTATAGCCTGACTTTCCAACATGTTAGGATTCTTTTCCATTTAGAGCTGCCCTATTGCAAGTCCAGTAATAGCCTGACTCCTGATAAGTCAGGATATCTTTCCCTCCAGAGCTATCCTATTGCAGTTCCATCCTCCAGGGCTGTCCATTTACAGCCTGACTTCTAACAGTCAAGAAATTTTTCTCTACAGAGCTGTCCTTTTGCAGCTACAGGTATAGCCTGCCTTATAAACAAGTCAGGATACCATTCTCTCCAGAGCTGTAACACTTGCAAAAAGTCTCTAAATATTACTTAGATATGGAAAATGACATTGAGAACATATATGATGTATACATTCTCTTAAAATCTACAATTTTCTAATATATTTGATGCCCCAGATAAAATGAAATATCACTCCACAGCAGTACATATATTGCAGAGTTATGAAGCTATCAATTCCCAGAGGACCAATCCATTGATTAACAATGAAATTCCTGAAAAGTGCAGGGTATGTGGTGGTATAATGGAATATGCACAACATGAAATTTAGGAAAATAGATGATGAGTGATTAATAAAACCCAGGATATATGCCTTGTTTAGAATGCATCACCACTGTGTAATATAAGAAAATAATTCTATCAAAGTATAAAGAATGCTACAGACTGTTATTCAAAACTTTTCAAACTATGTGTATACAGGAAACTTAAGGTATCAAAAATCACTCTATCCACTGATTCATTTCACTAGCATAAGATAGAAGGTATTAAATGAGACTTGCTTATCTTTAATCTGATCAGGAAAACATAATACAGGTATTTGCATGTTTTCATTAGTTTATGCTATATATGTTATAAAAATATTTTTAACTTGTTAGATGACACATACATATTGAAATATTGTGACAGGATATTTAAGAAATTGTGACTTTCATCTCTTCTTAAGAATATGCTAGATATTGAACAATTGTAAATGTATATACATATAGTTTTATCCAGTAAATGGCATATACTATCAAATGATAGCTAACATGAACAGTCCATGCATATATATATAAATGTGTGCACACATATATACATCTTATGAAATGTTTTCAAAAGCATATATTTTCACTACACTGACCTACTTTCATTACATAAAATAAAAACAAGGTCAACCAAATAATGTGGAATGAGGGAAGTATATTCTAATATTGTGAACACTGTCCTTTCAGTTATGGGTTGAAAATGGGAAATATGATTTCATTTGAATAGGTACAATTTGGAAAAATTACAGAAATTGTATCACTATGAGGCCACTAGCATTATGATTTGATTTGTAAATCATTTCGATCTCTAAGCAGGTATAGTCCTCAAAAATATCTTCAATATCTCCTGGAGTGAAATTAAAATGAGGATTGGAATATAATGATGTATTTTTATATGATAATTTTAATAAATAATTAAATGGGAGCTCTGTAAATTATTATCTAGTGAAAGTGACCTGAGTAGTATTGTGACTATGGGTAATAATGAGTACATTTTAATTATCATTTTTAGAACATTACCATCATTCTATTCTTCAGACACAAGCAAGTATGTGGTGCAGTTAGTACTCTTTCTAAGTGGCAGAAATCTATGTACTAGGCTTTTGAATGTACATTCTTAGTAGTTTTTTCATAATCATAAATTCATGTGGCTAATACCATGCAGAAATGATCCGTATATGCAATTGTGTGGTCAAAATACAGCTAAAATAGTATGAACACAAATACATTTCTGTTAGAAGAGGTGTCTAAAAATTATCTCCAAATTTACCTGTGATTTTTTCAGCTTTTTTACAGCATTTTTAATATCTTTATTTCTCAAGGTATAGATTGCTGGATTCAGGAGAGGTGTGATGACTGTATAAAACACAGCAAGAAACTTGTCCACCCAGGTGATGCTGACTGGCCATAAATAGATGAAAATGCAAGGCCCAAAGAACAGCACAACCACTATGATATGGGATGTACAGGTAGAGAGTGCCTTTGATGAGCCATCTTTAGAGTGAAGCTGAACAGTTAATAGAATGTAAGTGTAAGATATCAGCAAGAGAATGAAACAACTTGTTGCTAAAACACCACTGTCAGCACTTATCACGATTCCCAGAGTATCAGTATTCACGCAGGCCAATTTCATCACCAAAGGAATATCACAGAAAAAGCTGTCTATCACTCTAGGTCCACAGAAAGGTAGCTCCAAAATCAGGATCAGTTGACTTATGGCATGCACAAATCCAATGATCCACGATATCAAAACGAGCCAGATGCACTTCTGTGTGTCCATGATGCTGGTGTAGTGGAGTGGCCTGCAGATGGCCACATAGCGGTCATAGGCCATTGTTACAAGAAGTACCATCTCACCCCCTCCAAAGAAATGCACGCAGAGGATCTGGCTCATGCAGCCACCAAAGGAAATTGTTTTATTACCTTTTAAGAGGTCTGTGGTCAGTTTGGGAGTTGTAACTGAGGAGAGGCAGAAGTCAATAAAGGAGAGATGAGCTAAAAGAAAGTACATTGGAGAGTGGAGATGACGATCAATGATGATTAATATCACAACAAAGAGGTTGCCTATCACAGTCATCAGGTAGAGGGCAGAAAATGGCATCAGGAGGAAGATCTGTAGCTCCCTTGATGTGCAAAGTCCCTGAAAAATAAACTCAGACACCACAGTCTTATTTGCTTCTTCCATTTAGTACACTATGCTCCAAAGTGTTGAGAGTGACAGAGACTAAGAATACCTGAAATAGAAACAGTAACTTAACTTTCATAGTTAAGTAGGAAAGAAAAATATTCAAATTGAAATCTTAGCATCATATCCACCTCAAATTTTAAGTAAATATATCTTGTATTTGTACATTGTGACTAATCAGGGAAGCTTTCTAAATGTTGAATGATCACTTAAAATTTAGGCACATCTTAAAGATAATATTTGTAGTTATCAGTATGAGTATGTTGCTTAAAAATATCAAAAGTACATATTCTCTTTGCATTTTCCAAGCTTGAATCTTCTCTTTATGAATGGAATCAGAAAAAAATTTCTTCAATTCATATCAGAGACATAGCTACAGTCCCTGTACATGGCCACCATAATTCCAAAATTACAATCTATTGACTTATTTCAAACATAAGCACAAATTTTCAGGCACAAATCTACTGATGACTTGTATGGAATTACAGAACAAAATCAAGTTTACTACAAACTGTGATTAAATTTATTCATCAAATAAATTGAGAACACAGATGCTAAAGACACATTGTTAACATTATGACTTTCCTTGATTTTTCACTCATCCATTAGAATATATCTGCAAGCAATAATATAGTTTTAGGTATGGGTGTTGTTACTTAATTTCCTATATTGAGTGCTTTTCAATTCTGATTGGTGAGATCTCATATGCTATTTTGAATGCTTTATGAATGAAAGTTAATTTCCTTGCCTCTACTTTTTGTCTCCTTCCTTCCTTATTTCCTTGTATGAATTGGCATTTTCAGATAAGTTATACTGAGGTAGTGAATTTTCAGTGAAGTATTATCATTCAAACCCCCAGCATTCTCATCACCTTCCCAATTTTTTACATGTTTCTGTACTGAATTGTACGTAGAAAGTAGACATCTAATTTAACTTCATAGTAATTTAAGCAGCCTGTCAGCAGCATGTTTTTTTCAGCAGAGAGTGTTGTAACTTGTCACATTACATAAAAAGATTTTTTATATGAGTATATAAACGTACTTAAAATCTCAAATGCTATTTGGAAAAGTAAACTTATATCATGTTTTTTGAAAATAGAACAATTAAAATGCAGTTGTGATATTTTTTGAAAATCTCTAGTGATAAAAATGTGCTGCTAATGCAGAGAGAACATGTTAAATAAGAATTCATGATGAAAAATAACAGTATAGCAATCACTTTGGGATGTACTTACATTGCAGTAATCGTTTCATCAGCCAGGTCCTCCCAAGTTGATAATGTTCCCTCTAAACACTGTTGAATCTGCAACTGTGCCACAGTGTAAATTTGTGATTTTGCTGTGACCAGTGTTGGCAAGAATTTCACCTCAGTGTGGCTTATATACACTGATGAATTCATGTCTTCATTAGAAACTTTCCTGTTCTGTACTTTAAATGGGTGCAGGTCTTTGGGGATCTTGAATTGGAGACATCTTGCAGCAATTCCCATTTTCAAAACTAGGTTCATGTTAAAATTTTAAAATAAGAGATAAAGTTTAAATATATATATATATAATATCTTGACTTAGGTTGAGAAAACAGAACTCTTGTAATGACAATATACAATGGTAGAATACATAAAATGATGTTGATTTTACAAAAATTAAAGATACAGCTAATCTAATCACACTATTCAATCATTTGAGATACATATTAAATGAAATCCATTTATCAAGGAATGCTGCATTCCCACGTTCTTTGTTGCATTATTTTTAGGATACATTATCTACAGAAGTGTCTACGAACAGAAGAACCAATAGTGAAACTTATATATCTTTATCAAACATATCTGTGTTATATGCATAGAAGCACAAGCATATGCATTTGCACATGTGTACACACATGCAGGCATATATTACTATTATTAAATTATTATTGATCTTGTGTTAATAAATATCTCAGTATTGTTATTTGTGACAATGTGGATGAATCTTAAGGACATTCTGACATAAAGGAATAAATGTTGTATAGTTTCTATGTAGATGAGTAAGTTCAAACAATGAACCTCAGAAGCAGAGAATACAATAGTGGTTTCTAGGGGCTACAGAAGGAAGAAATGGAGACATTTGGTAAGCATATTATTATTTTCCATGAATAAACTTCTAAAGTTATGTTTAACAACATAGTGACAATGGCTCATTAAAACCTATAGTAGATCTAGGTAGGGATGGATATGGATAGAGTGTTCCCACTCAACCATGAGGAGCTGAATCCACACACCAGAACAATATATATATTGGAAGATTTCTGTGGAAAAATGGGAGTTGGAAATAAGGGAATCTTGAGAAGCTATGTCCAGATGTACCAGGATATACAGTGGTCAAGAGCCAAAGACCCTGTCTCAAACAAGTTACAGAGGTAGGACTGATACCCAGTATTGTCCTCTTTTTCACACATGCCACTTATCATTCATATATAACTATGAATTCATACATCTTCTGTTTTCTCTCTGATGAACCATTGATGTCCAAAGTTCTACTATTCTTCTACTTATTCAACATTTTAGATCTTTGCATGTAAGCGAGAGCACACCTTACATTGTTTTCATTGTGTCCTGCTTTTTCATTTAGCATAATTCACCAATGGTATTATATCCTTCTTTTTAAAGCCTTAAAAGCTTGATATAGAACTTATTACACATACACTATATGTTCCACATATTTGTTTTTTATGTAATATTATGTATTTCACCCATCACATTTATATCACATATGCTACATTTATCTAGTAATCATTAAAACTATTTACACAGGAATTTGCTTTGCATGTTGCCCAAAGTTAAATTAAACTGTCTGGTACAAGTATGCTTGAAACATACTCACTTTCCAGAGTATTGAAATCTCCATATTATTAACAACACTGACTTTACAAGTTTGCATTTGCATCAGCAATTTAAGAATTCCTTTCTCCAAATTTTTACCATAAAGTTGTGTATCATTTTTGATACATATCTGAGAAATTATAAGGTATTATGCAATCATGCCTTTGGCTTTTAAAATCACATAATTTGCTTCCTTTTGATTCAAGGTTTCTTCTCTCTCCACTTGGGATTAAATCATGTTGTGTGTTAGTGATTTTATTACTTTTATTCCATTGTATGTGTGTCTGTTCATCTACTCTTCACTTCAGTCCATTAGGGTTGCATCTAATCTATAGCTGTTAGTAATACAACTGTGCAAATATTCCTGTGTTTGTCATACACACAGATTTATTTTATTCAGGTAAATAGCTAATAGTGAGCTTGCTGTGTAAATTGGTTTATTATATACTTAATGTTACTAGTCTCTTTAAGGATGATGCTTAGATCCACAGGCCTGCCTGATCCCAAGCAGCTCAGGCAGGCAAAACACACCCATGGAGCATCCTTATGATGTATATGTGTATCATGGAGAAATGGGAGAGAAAGAAAGGCAGAATGGCTTGTGTCTTATGGTAAGAGACAGATATGAAGAAATGAGTTTTGTGAGGAATGGGCTGATGTTGGTGGCCTACTTACCACCTAGGACCGGAGTGATATCTGGTCCTGGGCTTCTTGCCTTGGGCCATGTCTGGGTATGTGTTCCTATTGCAGCTGGATTCTGTGTTGATGTCTATGACCCACGATGTTACCAAGGCCAGAGGGATGTCTGGGGTCTGGGCTGTCATCTGTGGTCACTTTGTTGTCCAAGGGCCATGCCACCACTGCAACCATGCTGATGTGAGTGCCCTGGCTGCCACAAGGGAGCATGATGTCATCTGGGCCTGAGCTTCCACCTGGGTCCACGCTTGGGTCCTTGACCCTGTAGCAGCTAGGGACTGTGCTGATATCTATGTCTTCAGTAATCACTGAAAGCCATGCTAATGACAGATCTGGCTAGACACCTGAGTCCATGTTGATATCCAAGGTCCACACTGTCCCTGGGGCCATGCAAATTTGGATGGCCTTTGCTGACACCAGAGGCTATTGTGATGTCTGGTGTGTGGCCATATCTGGGTCTGTGACCCTGTCACAGCTAGGGTCTGGATTGATATTCATGATTCCTTATACCACAGAAGTTTGTGCAAATACCTAGTAATGCAGCCTGAGATACCACCTCCCAGGACTGCACCCAGGGTACAAAAAGAATGCTGGGACATGGAAAAAATTATCTGTCTGAGGGCTATACTTTTCTATCTGAGGGAAAACTTGCTTTCTGATTGTAACTTTCTCTTTTACTTCATCTTTAAAAAATCACTTTCTGAAAATCTGTCTCCACATAGTTTCATCTCTTTATATACAGCTACATTTTCGTCATTACATACATACATCTCTCTCCTGCGTAACTATCCATCTCTATATGCAGTTACATCTCTTTTTTACATAGCTGCATATCTCTATACACATTTGTCTTCTATGCATACATCTTCTATCTAGTATGCTACAATTCTTCACACATAGTAGTATCTCTCTTATACATCAATTAACAACTCACTTGCCACTCTCATTCATTCAGTAATTCACTCACTCACTCACCTCCTTCTACATCTCTAACACTTTTCTTTTCTGTCACACTTCCCTACACACTCAGCTACATTCCCCTTTTAGCACACATACCTCAAACATCCAAACTCTAGACAGTTATATGTTACATATTCAAGGTCAGGCCTGAATATGTATAAGTTATGTCTATTAAAGTTGTTTCATGCCTCACCTTGATTCAGCAAACAATTTTCTGGGAACTTGTCCATGTGTATTTGTCTCCATGAGCAATTAATTTGCTTTGAATTTGTTCTGAACTCTAAAATTAGCTGTCTTTGTGACTGAGAATACTATTACTTTCATATGTCAATCTGACTAAAGAAAAAAACCAAAATAATATTTCCATTTATCAGAATTATATAGTTAAGCATCATCTTCCTGATCATCCACAGATATATGTTTACCTAATAGATGGAATATATTCACAAGATAAATGCATAAGCAATGGAAATATACCCATAGCT